TATGGTAATGTGTCGACCCAGATTGCACAAACTCCTATATGCCGAAGGTAGCGCCTTTGTACTCTTGACACACCGATCTTCATATTCCTCAAAAAACCGGTTAGTTAATAAAGTCGATAATTATTAACAATAAAGCCAAAATATATTCGAAAGCAAGTACACTCGTTCACACATGTTGGAACTATGCTCTATGACACAAACTACTGTACCATGATAGGGATGGTTGTTTTTATTTGGAAAACAGTCAACTCCCCCCCCCCACCCCCTTACAATCTCGAGTTTGTTAGTGGATGAGTTTTTTGGAGATGTGAGTTTGTAGGGTGTGATTGTTACGTATGTAGTCGGAAAATAGTTTGTTAGTGAGGGACTTTTTTTGCAAGGGAGAGTTTGCAGAGGCGAATTTGCTTGAGGAGAGTCAGTGTTAGAGCGAGCGTGGGTCGAAAAGAGTTGGTTTAAAGAGACGTTTTTAGGGGATTATTTGTAAGAGGAACCTTCTAAGGGGGCGAGGTGACTGGAGAGAAAGAGGATTTGGAACCCAATAACTTTGGAAATTAAGAATCTTAACCACCAAGGGACAGTATACATGGTTTAGATCAATGAGAAAAACGAAACGAAGGTCAACTTTATTTAACCTCCATGATTTAACGTTGTTTCTACCTGTTTCTTCCAAGCATTTTGGTTGCCATGAATCTCCCTCCCCCTCCCTTCTTCTATTAGGCCTATATGCCATCGTCTGAAACCTTTAAAGTGGCATTTAAACAATCTTAAACAGGGCCGTTCGAAATATTCTCCCTTTTTTGCACTCATTCACAATAGCCATATGACTCAACAGTAAGAGGAATGATTTTTCTCTAAAACAGGCAGTGGCGTATCTAGCAGTCTTTAAATGGGTGAGTGGTGGGGTGGGGGTGTGTGGCTGATTAGGGCGCGAAGGTGTAGTGAGGGTGCTAGGTCACAAAATAAGGTGATAGGTGATGTTTAACTACTAGTACTTGGCGAGCGTGATTTTTTTGCTCCAGACATTTCTATGGGGCCGTGGACAAACCTCCCCCCCCCCACCCCTGCACAATCGCTAGATACGCCACTGCCGACAGAGGGGTCTAAAATTGTTTATCTGGGTTCATGAGCGAAGTCCAGGGTTACGCTCGTGGCACCTACAGAAACTGAGAAAGTTGGGCTATTTTAACTGTTATTAAAACTTTTTAAACGTATTATGCCCAAACATAGGCCTAATAATCCAACTGTTCCTCTTTTTTTTTTGTCCGACAGGTCGTGAACAACGGAGTGGGGAAGGGGACTTGGACTGACTAACAAACTAACTAGTGGATTAGCTTCTATGCGCTTCCCATGAGTTTTTTTTTTTTTTTTTTTTTTTTTTTTTTTTTTGTAAAATAGTAATATATGTTTCTTGCCACACTGCGCAAACTTGTCTATCACTCTCTACAGGTATAAACCTTATTTATGCAGTCACAAACCCTATTACATCTTTCGATTTTCACCTGAAGTGGGAAGCAGTAGGAGGAGATAATCAAACAAACAGTTGTTATTCTTGATCAAAACCATATTAAACTGTATGATGTTTTTTTTTTAGAAAATGTTAATAAAGTCACCCAACCATTAGTAGGCCTGTGTTATAATTCCCAGTCGCAGCCTATTGTATGAAATTCAATGAACCCCTTATTAAACTCTCAATCGATATTCATATCTCATAATCCGCCGTCTACAAAATGATCCCCATTCTTCAAATTTACTGTTGTATGAAAAATGACGCCGAAAATATCGAATTTCTCAAACCTCGGTGATAATACTTCGGTAGCTAGCATCGTTACTGTAACTAGACATGGGTATTAGTGAAGGTGAGGGGTAGCCAACATTTGCAAAGGCAACATACGTAAGAAGCAAGGATTTATACGCAATTCAGGAGGATTTTTTTTTTAAATTAAGCTAGTATTCCTAGTAACAATATTACGTTATATAAGAACGTTATAATAACGTTACAGTTTGGTGACAAAAACTTTATTTTGTCAACCACATGTACGTACTTATAACCTAATTTCACTACTTCACAACGTTTGAATGGCTCTTACAACGTTGTGTGAAAAAAAAACGTTTTGTTTGCTGGGATCGTATGTCTAAAACTTAATTAATAAATATATACTGTGAACAATGTTTTTGTTTTTACTGTAGCTTGTTTTGAATGCAACACTACTCAGAAACGAGCGTGTCATCAGGCGGTATACGCTACCTCCTTGTTGTCTTTTAACTCCTAACAATAATAATTATAAAACTGTGAAACTGTCCCAACGTAAGCCAACATTATTATGGCTACAGTGAGTATAACTGAGCATCATCTATTAAAACATTAATTCCGTTTACGTTTCATATGGCTAAAAAACAAATAATAAAAATTCAAACGTTAATTGCATCGATGTTGATAACAATTTGTACCCTTAATTATGGTAGGCCTATCAATGCATCCATGATCATGAAAAAAGCTATTGACATAGGCCTATCTAAATGAGGTTTAACAGGCATTCACTGTTCGTTGTGCGACCTTCGGCCCAATTTTTCTCCCTCTGCAGCGTTAGACCGGTGGCAGTCTGAGCAAAGAATCGTCATTAAATCCTCCATAAAATCGCGTCGGCCGTGCGAGTGAGTGCCCGGGTTCACTTATGGATGGTAGCCTATAATTATTGTACAGATACAAGATTACACCATTAAGGAGGAAAATTAAGTACTGTTATGCCGATGCTCTCAATAATTCTCATTAACAAACCAATAGATTCTATGTCGTTACTTAAGTGTAAACAATACAAGTCAGCTAATCGCATTGAAACCTAAATGCTATAAGATACGTTACATTGCCTTAGACTTCTAATGATATCTTCAACAAAGCTGGAGATCTATCACTACCAGTTGTATTTAAATCTTTCGAACTCAATTTATATTGGCAAGAATCCTTAAATTCATGACGATCAGTAATTACCTCTACTTAAATTTACGTGTGCTTTACTATTCCTTCGATGAAACACTACCGTATTCCGATGAAAATCCAGCCAAATATCAAATCACAGACATATGTGTGTGTGGGTGGCAGTGGCAGTGGCGGTGCCAGCGTCTGAAATCTGGGGGAGGAGGCAAGTGAGGGGAAAGGCAAAATTTTGGGGAGAAAGGTCCCCGACAAAAGAAAAGTGGGCGTTGTCGGGCGTCGATTAAGATGTCTAATAATATGTAGAAATTTCATATAATGTTATTTGACCCTACGAATTGTGTTTTTCTTCTTTTTTTGAAGGGAGGGTGGCAAGATGATTCCCGCCCCCAACCCCCACCCTAGCGCCGCCACTGGTGGGTGGATATACTTACATTGCAACAAGAACGAACCGGCGTCGATAGGCCTACTTTCATCGCAATACAGCAAAATGTTTCGTTAATACGGTGAAGTAGTACCTAAGTAAAGCTTTTTCTAGGTTTATCCTCCATGGCTGAATGTATTCGTATGTACGAAATCACACTCCTCCATGGAAAGAGTGTGAAAATGCGAGCACGAGCATTCCGTGGAGAGGCGATTTTCCCCTTGTGCATGTATGTTTTCAAAATGATATGGATGGCTAATAACGTTGTATGCGATTTCCTCATCTCTTAAAATACGTTATAAATACACAGCATTATTATTATTAAATTATTATTATTAAATTATTATTATTATTATTATTATTATTATTATTATGGTTATTATTATTATTTATTAATATTATTATTATTATTATTATTATTTTATTATTATTATTATTATTATTATTATTATTATTATTATTATATGTACAATAAAATAATTATGCGTCCGTAATTCAGAATTATAGTGACAGTTTGCCCACGAAGTCAAGGATTTTCGATTACGATTTCATTGAGGAATTTAACTTAGCTACCGAACTTAATTAAGTATTGACACGTGCGTGCTAACTATACTAATAGCTCAAAATACATTTGCTATGATAGGGTGATAGGGTTAATTTGTAAATATCATGTATAGCCTTTGAAACAATTATGGTTGATTTAACTCAAACAGTATCGAAAAATTGACGCATCTCCCCCACAATGATTATTCAAAGGCGAAGGGACGGATAATGAACAACCAGTTAAAATCAATTCGATGAAAAAATACAAAGGTTTGTTGTCGCGTACTAGTATAACAATAATGACATTATTGATTATATTTTAGATACATTTTTTTTTTCGTTCATGTTTATGTCAGTGGGGGTATGAAGACTGGTGGTCTATTAAATATTGAATATTATTGTTGTTTTTGCTGTTATTATTGCTATTGTCATTATTATAAATATTAATAATATTATCTTTTAATATTTTCATTGTTTTTGTGGTGTATAGGCCTATGTATTATATTTTATTGATTTAATTGTTTATTATCATTATTATCGTAATCACCATCAACAATATTATATTGTCATTAATATATTCCGTTTTCATTATTATTATTATTAAGCCTATTATTATTATTATTTATTATTAATAATAATAATATTAGGCCTCTTCTTCTTCTTCTTCTTCTTATTATTATTATTATTATTATTATTATTATTATTATTATTATTATAGTTATTATTATTATTATTATTATAGTTATTATTATTATTATTATTTATTATTATTATTATTATTATTATTATTATTAATTTGTTTAACCAGACCATTTCATTTTCTCAAAATATATAAGAAGCATTGATATGGGCCTATCAACCAAATAAAAATATAGGCCTATGTGCAAGCGCATCGAACTAAAACCAATGCGAAAACGATTCGAGAGACTGAGCCTACACTTCAATAGTGCATCAGTATAGCCATCCGATCGCCTGCCTATGGTATTTGATGTATGAGAAAAATTGAAATGATAATCATCAGAATGTGATGAATATACCCCCGAGGGTGACTAATCACGTCTGCTTATCGTACTCATTAATTCATTTTGTGTTTTTATTTTCTAGTCAAGATCGTGTAGCATTAGCGGGCAGGAATCCAACACGAGTGTATTTGTGCAATACAATGTAAGTATTGTTGTCCCAGATATTATATCAGATAAAGTTTACGTTATAATAATCCAAGCTAAATTATCAGGGACGGATCCCGAAAGGGGAGGGGGTGGAGGCGATCGAGATTCAAAACTATCCGATGGGGTCCGGGGGAAATGTTTGGGAAATAACCCCTGAGGTGTTTTGGGTGATCAATAATTTCTTTTTCTTTCTTTCTTTTTTCTTTTTTTTTGAGTTTTAAATCTGCTGCTGACAATCCAAGCTAACAACTTTATGTTATACAATGTTATAAAAACGTTATAGTTGGGAATTCAAAAAGTGTTTTTCTTTTTAAAAACTAAGTACAGATACGTATTAAGGCTATTACGTAATCTCTGACTAAATAATTTTGCAAACGTTGCTGAGCATTTGGTTAATTATTTTCTTGACAATAATCTAGCAACAACGCTCACAACACTCGCTGTTCATCCCGTCTTCGTTTGAGTATTTTGAAAGTAGTCCTACAGTCATGTGCAATTTACATCATGCATCAGTGGTGATGTATTAATGTGTTCACGTCGTTCATCAAAATATAGGCCTATAAATCATGGCTTCAATTGTGCATAGAACAAATTCAATAGAAGGCGGTATATAGGCCTAATGACGGTGAAAATTATTATTAAATGTTAGGCCTATTGCCTGTAAACAAAATAATAAATAAAAGGTAAATTAAAATTACTCATAAAAGATTAAAATAGCTATAGCTTTCAGTAAAACACAGATTGATGCAAAAAGTATAGGAATGGTTATTTATGCGTTTATTACAAAAGACCAACCAGCCAGATTTGGTTATTTTTACGTTATCTGATGTAATTGGCTAAAGTGGATGATGAATATAGCGATGATGTAGCTTGGGGTATCACATTCAGTTGATAGATCGTACTAAAGCATGCTGCTTACAAGGTGGCTCTAGGATATATCCTACTTTCAGAGGGGCTAAGATTGTGTCGGGTAATATCCGACACATGGTGGGGTGGTCTAGAGAAGCCAAGTCGCTCCCCTGGACGACTAAATTTTGTGACATTTAAGCTTAAAATTCAAATGTGTATATATAAATAATTTTGTTGTTATCGTAAATTTTAAGCTTTTTAGTATAGCAGTAGCTATTATTCGAAAATAATAATAAATTATACAATATAATGACGAGTTTTACTTTATTTGGCGTAGGCCTATGTTGTATATTAAGTTATAATAATTAATAATATCCGAATTATTAACTAAACAATAAGTTTTGTAAGTGTAGGCCTACCTATATGTAAGCAACTTCCTTATATGATAGGGTAATTTGTCTCAAAAAAGTAAGAGAAAAGTAGTAGAACTACGAATTATGCATGCTCGTAAAATTATTGGATCTGTTGTAGACCGCATTATTTTACGATCGATAGGCTATAATAGCAAGATGTACATGTACGGTAAGACATCCGTCCTCTGCTGTAACGAGTACACAACTGATCTGATTATCGATGCCAACGCGACCCCGAAAGTCCAATATAAATAATTAAGTAAATCATCACTCAATCCATTTTTATATAGCATGAGAAGTAAATACAAAATAAGTGACATAGGTTGACGTGTTACTGAACATACCGTCAGATATGTCTCTTTATTGAATAGCCTACATCTATGATACCGTATTAAGCCTGTAAGATAGGCCTATTTATTGATTTATATTTATACAAATATATAAGGACCTATATAGAGAAACTGAGAAATGAAAGAAACATCACAAACAGTTGATAAAAAACATTTTGTTGAAAGTTTGTGTTCGAAACGATCATAACGTGTTCCTCCAAATTGTTTGTATAGTAATACATTGCTATGCAAAAAATCTGTTTGTATATACCTTATATAAACCATACATTTAGGCTATATAATTAAATAAAATTCTTCTGATGGTGAATACCTTAAGAAAACCTAAAGTTTCGAGAGCACCTGCTCCCCTTTTCACAGGGTTTCAAATAGGCCTACGTATCCTGTGATTAATGTTTATATGCCATAATGGTAAATGGTTTTATATATTATATTATATAAATAAATAAATATATATATATATATATATGTGTATATAATATATATAATATATTTATT